GCCAGTGACAATGAGCCAATGGAGAGGTAACAATAAAAAATGTGTGTGTGAGTGTGTATGTGCATATGTTTGTGAGCAAGTGTGAAGTGGGCTGGAAAAGGGTTGGAGAAAACAGAATTTCCTAAGATACTTTTCACCTTAGAGGCTAGCCTTAGAATTTAGGAAACTCACTTTATCATTTGAGCAGGCAGGTGAGAAAACGAAATAGGCACAGTATGGGAGAAATTCTGAAGCTGCTAGAACATAAGCTAGCTATCTCAACTCTTTAAAGCAGAGCCGGGGACATGTTTTCTTCCAAGAGACAGAAAGGCATAGGCATTAGCTAGGCATTTAAGGAGAGGGAGAGGGTGGGATAATGGCAATAATCAGAGAAAATGTAGAGCGATAAAATGACTACTGATTGGTCCCTCAATGCCACTGATTTCTGAGCTCTGAGTTACCTGCCATCTCTCAGTCCCTGCTAGTCGCAATACCTCAAGAGGCAAAGGACAAAGGGGAAAGTAGCCAGATGGTTTCTACTTTAGAGACACTGTGTCTGTAAGATGCTTTTCCAGGTCTGCATCATTCTCCTCTTTGACCATGCCATGGGCCAGCAAGATCACTGTGAAATCATTAGTCACTGTCTTCATTACTCTCCCACCACTTTCTCTTGCAAATGGCTTTTGTTCCTATCTTTCTACAGAGCTGCTCTCACCACCGTCACCAGGGAGTTCCGTTGGTTACTTTCAAGGCCAGACTCGCAGTCCTCTACTTGACTTATCATCTGATTCTCATTTTTTCTCTTTGAGACCCTGGTTACTTGGTTTCTAAGACACCAAACTCAGCTTTTTTTTTTTCTGGCTGCTTCTTCTGAAGTCCCTGCTACTGGCTTCTCATCTCCCCATCCTCTAAATGCTCACATGCCTCAGGGTCTTGTGCATGGGCCACTTTTCTTTTCTATCCACATTCACTCCCTTGGTAGTCTCAGTTTGGTGTGTTGGCTTTAAATATCATTAACAATGCTGATGACTCCCACATCTGTATCTCTAGCCGGGACATCCTCCCTGCACTCTAGGCCCAGAAATCCAATTGCCCCTCTGAAAGTTCGTCTAACAGGCATCTCAGTCTTAATGTGTCCTAAAATTAAACTCAGGATATTATTTCCAAAACTTCTCTCTTTCGTCCTCATCTCCATAAACTGGCAACACCAATCTCCTGGTTGCTCAGGCCCAAAGTCTTGGAGCCACCTTTGATTACTCTAATGCTTTCATATCCCACATCGAATCTGTCAGGCGAGCTTGTCAATTCTAGCTTCAAAATACACCCAGAATCCATCCACTTCTTACCCACTACCTCATGACCTCCTAGTGCATCACTCCAGGAGGACCATACATATATTAGCAGATGGGAACAGTGCCTCCTGGGCTGTGTGTGATGGCTCTGGATCATCTCAGTTCAAGCCATCATCATGTCAAACACGGATGACAGCCATAGCTTCCTAACTGGTCTCCCTGCTTCTCCCCTTGCCTGCTTATGATCCATTCTCAACATAGTAGTCACCAGATTAAGTAGGTCAGATCACTGCTCTACCAAGAACCCTCCAATGGCTTTTCCTCTAACCTAGAATAAAAGAAGAGTCCTTATGACGAGCTATGAGGTCTGACTTAACCTACCCCGCCTTCACCATGACCTCTTTCACTTTTCCAACCACAATGGTGTCTCTATGGTTCCTTGGACATGCCAAATAAATGATGGCCTCAGGGCCTTTGCATCTGAGATTTCCTCAGGGCCTTTGCATCTGGATTGCTTTCTTACCTCCTCTAGGTCTTTATACTCAATGTCAAGTTCTTGGAAAGGTCTTCTCTCACCACCTTTTTAAAAATTGCATCTCTCATAATGAGCATTTGAATACCTAATCCTGAATTGTACTCCACATCATTAAAATTAAAATATTTATTTTTTTGAGTTGGAGTCTCACTCTGTCGCCCAGGTTGGAGGGCAGTGGCCACTTCCAGTCACTGCAGTCTCGACCTGCTGGGCTCCGGTGATCCTTTGGCCTCAGCCTTCCAAGTAGGTGGAACTACAGGCGTGCACTACCACGCCCGGCTAACTTTTTGATTTATTGAAGAGATGAGGTCTCACCAAATTGCCCAGGTGGGTCTCAAATCCGCGGGCTCAGGCAATCCACTCACCTCAGCCTCCCAAAGTGCTGGATTACAGGCTGAGCCACTGAGCCCGGCTGAGCCCGGCTTTTTTTTAAAATAAAAAAAATAAAAAAAAATTGCATCCTTCGTGTCCTCACATGCCCTCTCCCCATTCCTTGCTTAAATTTTCCTCTTAGTTGTGATCACTATCTGAATATACTTTATGCTTTACTTATTTATCTTGGTTATTTGTTGCCCTGCTAGAATGTAAGCTCCATGAAGGCAGGAATTTTTGCCTGTTTTTCTCACTATAGGATCTAAAATGTTTCCTGCCACATATAATTATATATCATTATTTTAAGCTGTAGAAACAAATATTTGGTCAGAGTGTAAAAGAACTTAACATGGGGTAGGGAAAGGTTTTAGAGGAGAGTTGGGCCAAGTAAAATCAGGAGTTTAAAAATAAGTGGTGGGCCGGTCTTGGTGGCTCAGCCTATAATCCCAAGACTTTGGGAGGCCGAGGCGAGTGGATTGCCTGAGCCCGTGGGTTCGAGACCAGCCCGGGCAACTTTGCGACACCTCGTCTCTACAATAAATCAGAAATTAGCCGGGTGTGGTAGCGCACATCTGTAGTTCCAGCAGCTTGGAAGGCTGAGGTGGAAGGATCGCCGGAGCCCAGCAGGTCGACGCTGGGGTGGCCGTGAGTGTGCCATGACACTCCAGCCTGGGCGACAGAATGAGACTCCAACTCAAAAAAATAAAAAAATAAGTGGGAAGTCAAGATACACAACTTAACCTTCAGGTTATAGTCTTAACACTAGTCATTGTTATGTTCCCTAGCTCTTTGTTTTGTGGTTGCCTGTGAGGATTAGATTTTAAAATTCATGGAATATGAGAGTTAGAAAACATTTCTGAGAACACCCTCACTTCACAGATGAGGAAGTTTTTCTTCTAAGTTGTGTTGGCAAGGTTTTACATTATTCATTGCAAGGAAGACATGGTCCGGAGCTCTCTTATGTTAACGTATGACAAGCGCAGTCCTGGAATGCGGAAACTGGCAACTGAGGTAGGGGCAAATCCTTTGCCATAAAAAGACCAAAGTGGATCTTCCATCCCAGGGTTTTCAAACAAAGACTATGTCCATAGTTTCGTAAGCACATATTCTAAGGAGCAAATGTACTTTTCCACTTTTGTTAACTATTACTACCTAACTTATTTCAGACATTAAACCGAATGAAAATAAATTAATGGGTTAATATAAAAAGGGATTCAATTGAAGCACATTCTTTTCCAGCTCTATAGCCTAATCTCAGACTTTTAGTTGCCAGGTATCTCTTTGACAGATAGGGAAATCAAAGACCAAATAAAGAGCTAATGAAGTTAGTATCATTGATTTTATTTAAAAATTTACTTTTGGCTGGGCTCGGTGGCTCAGCCTGTAATCCCAGTGCTTTGGGAGGCCGAGGTGCGTGGATTGCCTGAGCCTGCAGGTTCGAGACCCGCCCCAGCAACTTGGCGAGACCTCATCTCTACAATAAATCAAAAATTAGCTGGGCGTGGTAGTGCGTGCCTGTAGTTCCAGCTACTTGGAAGGCTGAGGTGGAAGGATGGCCGGAGCCCAGCAGGTCAAGGCTGCGGTGGCTGGGAGCATGCCACTACACTCCAGTCTGGGTGACGGAGTGAGACTCCAACTCAAAAAAAAAAAAATTTACTTTTAACAACAACAACAAAAGAATTGAATTATCAATGTTTAAAAAATAGTGTGTAATGCTTCCAAATGCTTAAATTTTTTGTTTTGAATACTGTATCAGACTTAGGTCAGAAGCAGATGATTACTTCTTTTCATCGTAACTAATCAGTTGACTTCTAGAAACAAAACATCAAGACCTTTTTTGGGGAAAAAAATCACATATATATGTGTTTTCCTAGATTTGCATTTGTGTATATTTTACATAGCACAAAACTAGGAATCTTCTCTGAGCACATACAGAAATTGACAATGGCAAAAACAGGTGGCCTATAAATTTTGTTAAATGTATGGAAAATCCAGCATGGAACTAAAAACTGGTCCGAGATAAAGTACATCAGAGGATGTGCACATGGAATGGTAAGAATGGATATTGCCTGTTTTTATTAGAGTCCAGTTCATGTTATATTATAAATTTATCTTTATTTTCTTTTAACTTAAAGGAAAAGATTTTGGTTCTCATTTTTCAGAGAAACTAAAGCATAAAGGAAAAAAGATGATGAATATTAATAGTTATACTAAATAAATATTTAGTTATTGGCCAAACCACTTATAAAAATGTATTCTATATATTGAATTAATGACCTAGAGTTCATTCAGGCAACTGTGTAGGGGATTAATTTCTTTTTGTTTCAATTAATTTGAAAAAAAATTTATACATATATAGGTTTGAAACTAAATTTCTGAACATGAAGAGATTTCTGAACATCGATTCTTACTATACATTTCTTTTATCTCGCTTTAAGTTCATTCATTAATTTTTTAGTATATTCATATAGACAAAACAAATAGAATGGGTGAAAAATAAGAAAAAAATACTTCATGAACAATTTTATTCCAAAAATAAAATTTTTAAATGCTTTAAAAATGAGACAAAAAGCAGACCAATTTAAATCACATGGAAATCAATGTGTGTGCTTTTTGTTCCTATGGTAGAATGCAATATTTCTCCTTGATTTTTGTATTTACTAAAAAGAAATACAAATGTGTACTTAGTGGCTCTAAGGTCTCTCTCGGAACTCATATTCTATCATTTTGTGAAACACAAGATTGAAATTACTTTTTCTTTTATAAAGCAAAGAGATGTGATATTTCCTAACAAGTAAAATGTTACAGAAATATTCACTTACCACAAGACCATCTTGATTTTCATTGAGCTCAGAAAGTTTATTACTAGATTTCTGACGTTTAGGTTTGCTTCTTTCTCCAATATAACCAGAAGTATTTTCATGTAATTTTTCAGCTTCCTGAGTATTCAAAATACAATCATCAGGACTGCTGAGCCCAGAAGGAATATTTTCTTTGTTGATAAATCCCCTTGAATTTAAAAAAAAAAACAAAAACTTAATCTTACTTTAAAAGGTCAAATGGACATTTAATGATACTGTTACTGCATCATATTATACACAGGAAATCTGAAGAATGCCTAGAAATTACAGTTTGTGTCTTTGATCAAAATCTGAGTAGAGTGCTGTTCCTGGGACTGCTTGGTGCCAAATAAATCACATTGAAAGAGAAATTATTCCCAGAGGCAAACTGGCAAGGGCTATGTTTCTACCAATGAACAGCTCTGTGTTTTACCAAAAGTAATTTGTATTCAAATAGGGAGAACAGTGTAAGTTTACATTGAAGTTTCCCATTATTCACGGTAGATGTTTATATATATATATTTCAATTTTATAAATTAATATAATGTATGGAGAAAAATCCGAAAAGAAAATACTATATCTTCCATTTTAGTAGTATAGAAAGGCATATTTAAATCTCACTGAATTGGATAATTTGGGGGAGAAATCACAAAAGTTAATAAAAACTATGGAATACAAAGCATTTTAACTGAAATATTAATGTGTTACTTCCGAGGACAGGGAGTTTCAGAATGCAAGCTTATAATGAGGTCTTTCATGATTTAGTTTTAGAAGTAGATATGAATGTCACAATTATAAAATTTAATTCATTTAATGTTCAGAAACAGTTTTAAGTATTTTAAACATTCCCATAATAGGTTTTCACAAAAGTAAATTACTTAGCAAATTGGATTAATGCTCCTCTTCCCGCAAAAAGAACCCATGTCAAAGAAAAAACTCACCATCAGCACAGCATCATGTAGTAAGGAACAAATGAATGAGACTTTACTCTCTTTCACGGTATGACTAAATTAATGTACCTCCCTAAACACCTAAAGCTGTATCTTGAAATAAATGAGTTCTACTCAGTAAAAATAGCTACCATATTTTACTTTTGGTTCAACCATATCCAAAAGTGAAAGATAGCATTAAATATTTATTCTGCAATCTAAATTCATATCCTTAGATGGACTATCATGTAGGCAAAACTATGAATTAAATATTATCATAATATTTTCAAAGTTATACTATCTTTGGTAATTTTTAGCACTCTATATTTAATTTAGTCATATTTTCTACAACCTTAATGTGAAAAAGATATATTTGGTACAATTGTATAAGAGATGTATGCACACTTCCAAGAAGTATTCTAAGTATAAAATAATTGAAGACAGGAGGAAAAGCTGGTAGGGACTAAAAGCAAGCACATATACTCATGCGAACACTCTGAAATCTCTCCCTTCCATGCACCAAGAGCAGTGCCTCCTGTGGACGGCTGCATGAGTTTGGTGTAAAACTCAAAATCATTTGTTTTACTATTGGTATTCTCTCTTCTTATCATTCTTCATATTTTTCCAAACTCCTGGGGCATGCATCCAATGATAACTTTTTAAAAAAATTTTAAAATATGGGGTATAATTCGTGGTTAGGTATATACATGGTCATCATACAGGTAAAGTGTGGGTACCCTTACTGATGCTATGTTCTCACCCCCTCCCCTGGCAGTGTCCCACTATTGCCAATCCCTTTCTTACAGTATTATGATAAATGTTCGGGGTTCACTTATGAGTGCATACATGTGGTACTCAGATCTTTGTTTCTGTGATAAATCATTGAGTATTATACACTCTAATTCTATCCAGGTTGCTGCAAAGTTCCTAATTTTGTTTTCCTTTTTTTTTGAGTTGGAGTCTCACTCTGTCACGCAGACTGGAGTGCAGTGGCTGCTCCTGGTCACCGCAGCCTCGACCTGTTGGGTTCCGGTGATCCTTCCGCCTCAGCCTTCCAAGTAGCTGGAACTACAGGTGTGCGCTACCACACCCAGCTAATTTTTTGATTTATGGTAGAGATGAGGTCTCGCCAAGTTGCCCAGGCGGGTCTTGAACCCGCGGGCTCAGGCAATCCACTCACCTCAGCCTCCCGAAGCGCTGGGATTACAGACTGAGCCACCGAGCTCGGCTTTGTTTTTCTTTATGGCTGCATAATATTCCATTGTGTAAATGTACCACATTTTCTTTATCCAGACCACTTTCGATGGGTAGCACGGTTGCTCCCATGTTTTGGCTATTGTGACTACTGCTGCAATAAAACATCATGTGCAGGTATCTTTTTTAAAGAGTGATTTGAGTTCTTCTGGGTATATTCCCAGAAGGGGGATTGCTGGGTTGTATGGAAGATCAATTTTCAGATTTTTAAGAAATCGCCACACTGTTTTCCACAGAGGTTGTACTAGTTTACATTCCCACCAACAGTGTAGAAGTGTTCCTTTTCCCCTACATCCTCTCCACCATCTGTTTGTTTCCTGAGTTATTGATGGTCATCCTGACTGGAGTTAGGTGGTATCTCAGTGAGGTTTTACCAATTATAACTTTTCAATGGAAGGCTTTTTATGCTTGAAAGCTGCTATAGACTGAGTTGCGTGCCCTCAAAATTCATATTTGGAAGTCCTAATCCCCAATGTTACCGTACTTGGAGACACGGCCTATAAGGGAGTAATTAAGGTAATTAAGAATCATATGGGTGGGACCCAAATCCAACAGGACTGGTGTTCCTATAAGAAGAAGAGACATCAGGAGAGTGCACACAGAGGGAAGGCCATGTGGGCAGGTGGCCATCTGCAAGCCAAGGTGGGAGACCTCACCAGTAACCAAGACTGCTGGCAACTTCACCTTGAACTTCCAACCCCCAGAACTGTGGGAAGATAAATTTCTCTGTTTTAAACCACACAGCCTATGGTATTTTGTTATGGTAGTCCAAGCAGACTAATACAAAAGCTAAAAACTATTCTTAAAAATCAGAAAGCAAAGTTTATTTTATCCTCTTTGAGTAGTGAAGAAATGACTGGAATAAGTCCTGTCAAAACATATATATAAAAATCTGACCATGCAGTTGTGCTCATATGGAAATCCTGTTCTCCCCACAGGAAAGTCTGCTTTTATGTATAGCAATGTGTCTCAGTCACGGTACCTATGTGGCTGTGAGGGGCACGTGTACACAATTCCTTCCTGCAACGTTTCTGTCAGGCTTCTATTGCAATTGACTTTAATTTGACTGAACATAGATCTCTGGGCTTCTTACTTTTATTATTGAAGTTTTATTTCCAGTTTTTTTTTTTTTCAGGGTTTACTCCTCACCCCTACATATACAATGTTCCAACATAATGAACTATGTATTTCCCAAAGACAGCATGCTTTTCTTTTTATGTTGCATAGGATTTTAAAATAGTATTTGCATAACAAAGAAACATTTGAATCAATTTTCCAGTTCATTGTGTTTTGGAAGATTGAAACCATTTTCACCTGAATGAGTCTTTGCTTTTTTAAAAAATTTATTATGAATTTTCTCAAATATATACAGAAGTAGAGAGACCATCACAAGAAACTTCTATATATCCATCATCAAAATTTCACATTTCCATACACCTGGAAGATGGGAGATTATTTTTCTAAATGAATAAAACTGAACATTTTTACATAATAAATATTTTCCTTAAACTTTAATGTTTTTATTGTAGCAAATAATAATACAAGCCTGATATTATTTCCTTATGAATTTAGACAAATAGCAAATCATTCGAACCAAAATTAATGAAGTGTTTATAGTTTTAGTCTAACTCCTGTACTGTTATTTCAAAAATCTACCATGATGACTTCAGTAAGACTTTATTGACTCTTTTATCTCATCTTGAGACATGGTCATGATTGGTTTAAAAAATATATATATACATATGTGTGTATATTTGTATATATGTATCTCTTAAATATATATATTTACACATATTATATATATTTTTTTCCTATAGAGATGAAGTCTCACTATGTTGCTTAGTCTGGTTTTGAACTCTAGGGCTCATGCAATCTTCTTGCCTCAGCCTCCCAAAGAGCTTGAATTACAGGCATGAGCCAGTGTGCCTGGGCTCCAAAATATATATATATATTTTTTTGAGTTGGAGTCTCACTCTGTCGCTCAGATTGGAGTGCAGTGGCCGCTCCTGGCCACCACAGTCTCGCCTGTTGGGCTCCGGCGATCCTTCCCCCTCAGCCTTCCAAGTAACTGGAACTACAGGTGTGCGCTACCATGCCTGGTTAACTTTTTGATTTATTGTAGAGATGAGGTCTCGCCAAGTTGCCCAGGTGGGTCTCGAACCTGTGGGCTCAGGCAATCCGCTCACCTCGGCCTCCCAAAGCGCTGGGATTATAGGCTGAGCCACCGAGCCCGGCCTCCAAAATATTTTTAAATTGGTTGCTGCTCTAAATTGTTAGAGGCAAAATAACAGATAATAATACAGATTTCTATTTTTCAAAATACTTTTAAACCATTCCAAAAGGCTAATAGTTTTAAGAAGAATATTATAAAGTCAAGCTTAATCTTTCCTCATTTTTTTAAGCAAAGCCTGGCAAAATCTTAGATAAATGAACCAAGTATATATAAGCAAATACCATGAAAAATTCACGATAGGATGCAATAATGATTCTTAACCTTCTCATGATTTATGACTCTCCTGGGGATGTTGGAGAGGATCTTTATAGCCTCTCATGGAAAGGAAGAAGGTTAAATGAGGAATCCTAGACCCAAGTGGAGATGCTGAAAGCATCGGTCTGGTGGAAATATCGGCAGCAAGGAGGTGAGGAAAGGAAAAGAATGGAACTGGAGGAAAACCAGTGAGAGCCCTGGAGCCAGGAAGGTGAGTGAAAGGATAAGAGGACCCTCTAGGAAGAAGGGGCAGAAGAGTGAGAGGGAAGAATTTTGGACCTATCGTCAAAACTGGGTCAACAAAATTAACAGATCTGGAGCCTTGAGAGACAAGGGCCTCACTCCTCCAAAGTCTTGGAGACCTTAAGAGCAGCTGCTGAGTGTGGGCTGGAAGCTGAAGAAGGACTATCAAGACATAATTGTGACCTGGTGGATCAGGTTAGGATGGGTGGGGGGAAGCGTGACCAGGAGGATGAGGCAAACAAGGAGCATATAGAGGGGGTGGAATGTTTAGACCACGCAACAAAGAAAGAGAATAAATATAGTGAGACTGTTTGTAAGTTACTTTGGCTGTATATAGTATCCCAGTAGTATATACAAATGGGAGACCCCCAAAAACCTGTAATTTATTTATAAAAAATTGTGTATTTATTCTTACATGCTTAAATTTCAGTCACTTTCAAAATATTCTCCGTTGGATATAACACACCTATCAAAATGCTTTTTCCTTACCAAAACAGTTTTAAAATAATCAATTTTGATGCCTTTTAGGGCTTCTGTCATTTTTTTGTTTCATCTTTTCCACATTGGCAAAATGTTTCCCTTTGAGGAAACAAAAAAAAGTCGCTCAGGGTAGAATCAGGTAAATAGGGAAGGTGAGGCATGGAGGTCATTCTGTTTTTGGTCAAAAACTGCTGAAAACTCAGCACAGTGTGGGCAGGTGCAATTGTTACTTACTCATCATGAAATAGGCAAACGTGTTCAAAGAATCTCAAAAAAAAAAAAAAAAAATTCAGTGAAGCTGAACACAGTCTCTCACAACAATGCTAGCAGGTATACTGATGCTGATGGGTTCCTAAACCATTTACCTAAAAGAGGAAGCCTGGCCGGGCTCAGTGGCTCAGCCTGTAATCCCAGCACTTTGGGAGGCCAAGGTGAGTGGACTGCCTGAGCCCATGGGTTCGAGACCTGCCCGGGCAACTTGGTGAGACCTCATCTCTACAATAAATCAAAAATTAGCCAGGCGTGGTAGTGCGCGCCTGTAGTTCCAGTTACTTGGAAGGCTGAGGCAGAAGGATCACCAGAGCCCAGCAGGTCAAGGCTGTGGTGGCCGGGAGCAGCCACTGCATTCCAGTTTAGGTGACAGAGTGAGACTCCTATCCAAAAAAAAAAAAAAAAAAAAAAAAAAAAGGAAGCGTGCACTGCAGGGGGACTGCCCTCCAAAAGAGAATTCCCTTTTTTGGGGGGGTCATCCTCATATATACATGTATATCATAAGATTCTCTTATTGAATGCTCTGTGATTTTACCAGAATGAGCAGTGAAGGGAATATCAGAGAAAGGAAAGGCTAGTGTCCACAGATCCAGTCTTTAGACCATCAGTCAGTCTCTACCGCTCCCCACCATTTTGTTCCCCCCGATGCTGCTAGTCAACAACAATCAAGATGAATCATGCTGGAGATGTCCCTGGGCTTGGGAAACTCTGTATGTAAATGCTGCAGGAGAGGGTAGGCTGTATTTTGCATTTCTCTGCCCTGTCTGGCCCCTGTCCATTTTTTATTTTACCCACTGGCCGCCGCCAAGCACCCACCAGCACCACTGTCACTCTCTGTCCTCTCTGTCATGCTCCCCACCGCTTCCAGCCTCCACCTGCTATCCCTCTGTCCAAACAAAGAGGGTGGAAAGCAGGATATCGTGACACACTGAGGATATTTTTAAAATGCAAAATGTTGCTACATATGCTTCGGCAAAACATGAGGCAGAGGATAAAAACAGTGTTAAATGAATAATTTGTACTTGCTGGGTAACACAATATAGGCAGTACACAAACTAATTTTACTTCTAAACACTTTCTAGAAACCCTTCATCAGTAGCTAATTTTAAATGTAAATATCTCTTGTATTATAATTTTTCTATTTTCTAAATGGAATATTACAACTACTCCTTCTACCTACCAGCTCTAAGACAAATGTTTCTTTAAAAAGTACTGCATATGTTACTTGTAAGTCAGTGGGTGATGTCACTGATATTGCTTTGTTTCTAACATTGCATTTGTTAATAGAACCCTTAAACAGCTCAGTGAGGTACAATGTAAAATTTATTTTTGTTTTTCTTTAAGCAAGAAAAGGTTTTTTCCATTGAGATTTTAATGTAAATTATGATGAGAAGGATGGGTGCACAACTATTATATATCCATAAAAATGAAAAATTAAAAAAGAAAAAGAATGAGGGGGACTAGAGTTTGGTTTGGTCTTTGACATTTACTAAAGAGTACAAAATAATACATATGTAGGGGCTAAGTGAATAAAAATAAATTTGGAACTTTTATGGGATATATATAAATACCTGTAAAGTCTATTATCTATATATATTTAAATCATGATTATTAAATAACATGAATGGGGATTGTTCATCTGTATTTTATCAAAATTTTAATGGGGAATAAAGCTCCCTGTAATACTATTCTTAAAATCCATGCTATGGGAATGTCTTAAAGTTAGTCATTATTATGAAGAACTTAAGCTTCTCTTTTTTGAGTAGATTTAAGCCCAACCTTTCTTATACTAAAACATAATCAAATGTCAGAGTACTATAGGAATATTCTACTATTTAGTCAAGTAACTACATTGGAGAAATCTGCTGGCTCATAAACTAATATAGCAGGCAACTTAATGTTGTTTAATAAGGAAAAATAAAAAACACCTCTAGATAGGCATGTGGCACCTCTCTCCTCCCATGGTTGAGAATTACCCTAAATAAGATATTCATGAGGAAGTCATAAAATGTTTCAAATCAGAGGTGGTTTCCTACAACACACCAAACATCTAGATGAAATGGAAGCATTTATGTCATCACCTAGGAATTTCCAAATGTCAGTTAAGTGTAGAACGATCAAAATGAAAACTCAAAGTTTTAACCCAACTGCCGACAGGAGGGAGGACTAGGAGGTGTGACTATAACACAATGACTAATTTAGGTGTATTATTTTAAAAAGAAGAGAAGACTCGAGTAAGAAGAAGCATCAGTGCCGACTCACTTGTCTCTACCATGTCGAGCTTCATCTTGCTCTTTGGATTGACGTCGACGCTGTCTGGTGGATGTGGCAGAAGATGCTGATGATGTTCCAGATTCTGAGTCCTCTGAACTTTGACCTCCAGAGTTGTTAACATCAAAAAGATGCTGCTCTACAGCTGACCGGATGGTTCTTTCTAAGAGTCTAGTAAAAAAGAATACAGAATCATTTAAGCAGTCAAATTTATCAATGGTTGCCTTAAAAAATATGTGCCCATAATTAAGGGACTATCTATTTCCAGTGAAAACGCTTTAGGACTTTGTGAGCAAAGACAGGATATGAGGTATTAATCTATAAAACATTTGCAGCATACATTAAAAACAAACCTAAACTGAACAATTTCTACCAATTTGTGAGTCCAGGATTGCTGAAATGCTTACGACAGGCCTAGCAATAATTATGAGGCATTCAGGAAACAAGGGTCACTTAATACAAGGAAGAATGAGGAAAAAATTTTTCCTCATAGAATAATAATGGACCTATTTTTATAAAGACTATTTCCTCCAGTTTTCATACCAGTTCTACAGAGGAAGACGTATGATTTGCAAAGCAAACTGGCACAGATAATTTTATGGTGGCTATTAACTATGCAGAATCCCTTTAAGATAAAATTATATAGGAAATAATGCTACTTAGAAAATACTCACCAGAACAATTACAACTCATAACAGCATGGCATAATCTTTCTAACCTCTACTCAATTAAATTGTGATGTAAATAATTGAAGTTACAGTCATGAAAACACCTCAAAACATGGAAGCTGGAAGGATAGATTAACTTTGTTCAACCTGAGGAAAACAGGTAAGCACAGAAGGCTAAAAAGAATGCATATGAAGCTAGAAATGGTATCATTTTAAACCTGCAGATCTTATCTTTCAGTGTGTGTTAACCTTCTTTTGTTGCCACATTATTTCATTCTGAATAAACTGGAATGAAAAATTCTTAATCTAGACTCCTCAAAGCAGGTTCTTCTTTAGTTGAAAAAGAAACGCTGGCTGGGCTCGGTGGCTCAGCCTGTAATCCCGTGCCTTGGGAGGCCGAGGTGAGTGAATTGCCTGAGCCCGCGGGTTCGAGACCCACCTGGGCAACTTGGCAAGATCTCATCTCTACAACAAATAAAAAAATTAGCCGGATGTGGTAGTGCGCGCCTGTAGTTCCAGCTACTTGGAAGGCTGAGGCGGAAGGATTGCTGGAGCCCAGCGGGTAGAGGCTGTGGTGGCTGGGAGCGGCCACTGCACTCCAGTGTGGGTGACGGAGTGAGACTCCAACTCAAAAAAAAAAAAAAAAAGAAAAAGAATCACATATATGTTTTTTAAATGTTCAGGTGGAGAAGTAGCATGTACTTAAATAAAATGGGTTTGAGAACTTAAAGAACTTTAATTTTCCAAATGCCATTTTATAATAGGTGCATAGTTATTTCATTCAAATTTTATTAGAACTATTTTAAGACAACAAGCAAGTATAGTCTAATTAACTTGGGCATTAGAACTGTTATACTTAGAACTCCATGTCCCAAGTGATTCAAGATGACTTAATGGTGGTACAGAGGATTGTCAGTAAAATAGTATATACATAACATACAGTATACCTAACATACAAATAAGATATTCATGAAAAACGCATCAAATGAATTAAGCCGGAGGCAGCTTCCTACAACATACCAAACATCTAAATGAAACTGAAATACTCAGACCAAACCCTCACCTCTGCCAAACTATCCAAGACATATGAGAAGGAGAGGTCAGTAGGAAACAAAAAAGGCAAAAACATGTTAGTCTGGAATTGCATGAAAATGGACAAAGCTAAGGAGGTCAATTCTGCCCTCTGACTGTGTTCTCTCCCAAATAAGGAAGGAAAAAAAATCCAAATCCATTCTATTTGTTCCCAATTCATTCCAATTAGTGAGTCTTTGAATTCTTCTCTCTCTCGCGTCACCTCCTTTCTGTCTCCTACACATGATCCTTGCCAACGGAAGAAGCTCCCAAAGGCCCACACATGTTCCAGCGAGAAAGGAAAACAGGTAGGTAGGTGTGATGGAAACAAACATCACAAGGAGTGATTCATTCAGTCATTCGATAAATATCTATTTAGTGCCTGATATGTGTCAGACACTTTTCCAGGAGTTAGGGAGACAGCAATGAACATGGCAGATAAGGTCCCTATGTTTGTGGAGTTGACATTCCCAAAGGGAAAGACAGAGAATATGGGATTTAATTTCCAACAGTAACACATTCTCCAAAACATCAAGCAAAGTGTTGGAGAGAGAATGTGGGTAGTCAGAAAGGGATTCCTGGATGAGAGGATATTTAAACAAAGAACTAAGGGTAAGACTGGTTAACTTCCTGGTCAGACTGAAGAACAGCCAGTGCAAAGGCTCTGAGGCAAGAATATGCTTGGCCTGTTCTGGGAACAGGAAGTTGTGAGGATGAAGCATAATACAGTCAGAGGTTGGCTAGGACAGATGACTGAGTTTAGATTTAGTCCAAGTAAAAGTGGACACCTTTGGAAGAAAAAGGCATTGGATAACATAATTAAGAGAGCACTGCCACAGCCCTGTGAAGAAAGGACTTGTTGCCATCACTAACTTGCTTTCTTCTCATCATTCCTATTAGAGTATAAAGTCCTTGAAGGCCAAGTCCAAGTCTTATTTGACATTACACATCTAACAGGTACTGGGGTGTGTGGCAGGCACTCAACCAATGCAGGCCCAATAAAATGAACAAAGTAGGAAGCAAAGACATGGTTAATAAGTTAACCTTTAATTATGTTCTCCATCACAAGATGTCTCCCAAAGCACATAGACTACCTGGCAAATATTAATTGACCCTGACATTATTTTTAACAAGGTAAAAGGCTGATATTTTCAAATGTTGGAGTTGTCTCTATTCACACACATATAAAAGCTCAAACGAGAATGCTTCTAACTCATTTCTCTCCTCTGTATAGCTAGTTTAAAAGCCAATGATTGCTTATAATCTTAATCTGCTAATTCTGTCCATCACTGGAGTTGCTTTATTCTGTTTAATAACTGTAAAAGGGCATTAGAAAAAAAGCCCCAAACACAAAAACCCAACCCCAATAACTTACTCTCCAGTTGTTGAAACACTGCTGACTTGGGATACGTGAGCACTGCAGAAAAGAAGCAAAAAGAAAGAAGGTCAGGTTAGATAAAAGGTCAGAGATGGGGAACCCAACGTCTGAAGGGATCACAGGCTGAAAGGAATTAGCCGAGTCCCAAGTGACCCACAGATGATGATGAACCATCCTATAGCAGATGCCCATTTCATTTGTTTCTAGAAACTGAGATGGCTCTGTTTGCTTATTCCTGAATAACTGACTTTTTCTCCTTTTTGAGGATATCCATTGCTGACAGTTCCACAACTGCGCTTGGAAACCCTACTGTACGGCCCTAGTTCAGGTCCTTTTCATTTTTTTGAACGTTAATTTAGTTGCTGCTGACTGCCTTCCTATCACCTGCCCTACCTACTTCCTGCTTTTCCTAGGCTAACTTTATCCCTTCCCTTCACGCCTCAGGTCTGTAGACAGAGCATCTTTCTAAAAATCTGCTCGGAAAATGCAGAGGGCAGCAGGGGCCATAGGAACAGAGAACAAGGAACCGATTTGTTTTCTACATAACAATTTCCAAGTCATCTTTTCTATGCCACTTTTTCTTTCTAAGTTTCTCAAGATAGAAAATATCTCACGTTTCATCTTTTTTTGTTTGTTTGTTGTTTTTGTTCCTGTTGCCCAGGCTACAGGGCAGTGGTGTGATCATAGATCGCTGCAACCTCCAACTCCTGGGCTCAAGTGATCCTCCTGCCTTAGTCTTCCATCTTAACACTACTGCCCCGAGTGCACCACCACATCGGCTAAGTTAAAAACATTCTGCGGGGGAGCAAGCCCTTTGGGTCCTCTCCCACTCTGTCCTCTTAATAAATCCTGCTTTCCAAAAAAAAAATTTTTTTTTTTGTAGAGACAGGGTCTCACTGTGTTACCCAGGCCGATCTCGAAACCTGGCCTCAAGCAATCCTCTTAATCTTGGCCTCCCAAAATGCTGGAACTATAGACATGAGTCCACCATGCCCAGTCAAATGTTTCATCTTAACACCTAATTTATAAGCCCTTTGTTGAGCATTTATAAACTGCCTCTACTTTCCCATTTTCTCTAAAGCCTGAATTCTTTTAACAGTATTAAGAAGCAGTCAACATAAAGCGGGATGATACAATTATGGAACACTAGTTAGCACCGTTCAGAACCTGTCCCCTCATGCCTGTGCTTGAGATCACATAACCACGAATGTTGAGTCTGGCAACTATTTTAATTGTATTAATACCATTACATTCTCACATTCTGCCCTCTAGCGTTCAATCAGCCTCTAACTCAAAATTTAAAAATAGATGTGGCCAGGCGCTATGGCTCATGCCTGTAATTCTAGCCTTTTGGGAGGACGAGGCAGGAGGACTGATTGAGCCAGGAGTTCAATACCAGCCTGGGCAACATAGTAAGACCTCAACTCTACCAAAAAAAAAAAAAAGTGGTCATGCTTTAAAAAGGAGGTTAAATATTGCAGATTTAAGAAAATCTATAGCCTAACGATAGTTTTGCCTAACAGCTCTCTCCTTTTTTTCTTCCTTCTTTATAGAAGACACTTGAAAGTCAAAGCTGTTAATGATCAATATTGATAGTTGCCTTTCAATCATTCCAAATATCCTAATTGACACTATATAATTTTCAACATATGAATATGTTGCTGGAGAATCATCTGTCAGGTTTTTCTCCCATGTAAGTGTATAGCTCGTCTCTTTCCATTCAAAATCTAAATGCCTCAAGGGATTGTATGACAGTTTCCATTTTCTTTCCTCATGTTGCCTCCCTCCCACTGCTGCCAGCATCATTCCTGCATAGTACTCATTATCCCAGAGGTGGTCATTTACTCTTTGGCTCCAGGTAATTTTTAGTTGAAGCTGCAGCTCCTTGTCATGGCCACAGACCACAGCCAACTCCCAGAAACACTGCATAAAATCACTGATTATACAAACAAGAAAGAAGCATTAGATAATGAAATAAGTAAATAAATAAATGTACCCTAAACATACCCTTACTGAATAACATACTGTATCCAGACACTGTGCTGAGTACTTTTGAGACAGACTTTTTCATTTACTGTTTACAATAACCCTTTGAGGTAGGCACTATCATTTTCTCTATTTTCTGATAAAGAGGTTAGAAGAGGTTAAATATCTTGCCCACAGTCATGAAGCCAAGAAATAGATGAACTGGGATTTGAACCAAGAAAAGTTTTAGCTCAGGGTCTAAGCTCTTAATCACTACACTAGATTGTCTTTCAATCCATTACTCACTAGAAGAAAAACTTAGCTCACTGGAGTCATCTTTGGATGTGGGGAACTGGATTTTACTTTGCTTTTAATCACAATCACTTCTCCTCTGCCTCACAATGCCTGGTATTCATAGTGGTTCCCAGGCTGCATAACCAACAATAAATCCCTTGCTGCTCTCTGTCTTTAACTGGAACAGGCAGTTCTTGCTTCTGATGCTATGTGGTTCAGCCTCTGTAAATTCCACACTGTATAATTAACTCCTATACTCCACCACTCAATACAGTTGCACAACCTTGGTTTTGGGAGCAGGGACCAATATGAATATTAGTAACTCAGGTGAAAACCCAAAGAGAGAAAAGGATGTGGATCTATTAGTTGCTTAAAAAAAGTCCCATTAGTTACTAAGTCCCCTATACCAATCCAGAATGAAGAAATGCATTTCATCTCCTTCTGTCTACACACTTCTGATGTATTCTTTTTGCCTATCAAAGCATACTCTCATATTTTGATGTTCCTTTTTTCGGGGATGATGAGAAGGAGAGGTAAAGAAAGGTGAGGAAGAAAGAGACAAGTACATGACAACAAACAGGACCAGGTTCTGAGATTTAGAACTCTCTGAACAAGCGCTTCTCCAAGCTTAACATGCATAGGAGTCATCAGGACCCTGTGAATACACAGAGGTGATTCAGCAGTTCTAGGTCTCAGGAAAGGGGAACTGACTCTGCATTTCTTTCTTTCTTTTTTTTGAGTTGGAGTCTCACTCTGTTGCCCAGGCTGGAGTGCAATGGCACGCTTACAGCCACCCCAGCATCAACCTGCTGGGCTCCGGCAATCCTTCCACCTGAGCCTTCTAAGTAGCTGGAACTACAGGTGCGCTACCACACCTGGCTAACTTTTGAGTTATTGTAGAGATGTGGTCTCGCCAAGTTGTCTGGGTTGGTCTTGAACCCACGGGCTTAGGCAATCCACTCGCCTCAGCCTCCCAAAGTGCTGAGATTACAGGTTTGAGCCACTGCGCCCCACTGAGACTCTGCATTTCAAGCAAAGCCCTCAGTGACTCTAGTGCTGTTGGTTTATGGAAGACACTGAGTAGCAAGGTTCTAAATCCTCACAACACAATTCTTTAAAACTGCAATCACTCAGATATCATAACTGTGATTTTTTTTTTTTTTTTGAGTTGGAGTCTCACTCTGTCGCCCAGACTGGAGTGCAGTGGCCGCTCCCGGCCACGGCAACCTTGACCTGCTGGGCTCCAGCGACCCTTCGGCCTCAGCCTTCCAAGTAGCTGGAATTACAGGCATGCGCTACCACGCCCGGCTGATTTTTTGATTTATTGTAGAGATGAGGTCTCGCTGCCCAGGCGGGTCTCGAACCCACGGGATCAGGCAATCCACTCACCTCAGCCTCCCAAAGGCGCGGGATTACAGGCTGAGCCACCGAGCCCGGCTATAACTGTGATTTTTAAACATTCATATCTAAGTAATGAAGGTATGCTATGAAAAACTCATGCTAACCTTAGCAAATGAAAAGTCCACACATCAAAATTTCCCTGACAGCTAAAAGAAAAATGATACAAGTCATCTAAATCGGTCATATAGAGCCTTTTTCAGAATGCAAAAGTAAATGAATGAAACCAAACAATCATTTTTGCTCATATATTTATTCTGGGTGAGATTTATGATAAATCTATTGTTTTATGTTTTTAATAGTCCTTTTTCTGGTATATTGAGCTTGTCCATAATTTCATGTTCTTTTAATAGAATTTCCATAAGTAAAGTATTATGAGAAGAGAATATTTTCCATTGGTAATCAGAAAAGAGAAGTTCTGGTTTTGGTTCTGCAGTTAATTAGCTAAAAATCATAGGCAGGTTGTTGGTTAGCTTGGTTGCTTTGGGCTGTTTCTTCATACAGAGAATGAAAGGTCTGGCTAGTGATCTCTGTGCTTTTCTTTTAACTTTAAAAGTTTATCACTCTAGCTCAGATTCAAGTTTATTGCCCTAAAGTTTAAATCATTACAAAAATATATAAATGTATATTTAGTTTTATGACATAGTATCAGTCAATTTTATGGCTTATTAGATACCAAAATGACTTTGATCAGGTATCCATCCAACCACCTCCATAGTTTCTGTGGGATGTACTTAACAATTTACCAATAACAAAATAGTTTTAAGACTATTTAATGACAGCAATAAAGATTTCTCCCACAAGTATAGTTGACTCATGGAGATAATTCTAAGACACTGACCAAAAGGCAATATGAATTTAAATAATAAGCAAATAAGCTAAAGTGAAAGAGGTTTCCTTTATCTGCTTGCAGCTTGTTTTTTTTAATCTCTGCAGTCAGCTAAGAATAATTAAATTTTTTTCAGGGCTCTTGATGGATTTGCTAAGAAAATTTCTTACTCATGCACTATAAACACTTAGCTATGGAAGAGTGTATTTCCTAGTGCTGATAAAGCGAGTCTTTAAACTGGAAAGATCCCAACATCATGGCCAAATTCATTACCCAAGCCTACTGTTAGTGATGATGTAACTGAATATTCTATTAGTGTGGTCGTTTCAAATAGATTCTAAGCCTACTCTGAAATATGTTCTATGACACATTTAAATATTTTTAGCCTTTATTTCTATTAGCAAAACCCAAACTACATTTCCTTAAGCTAATTATGCTTAGCGATATTAGTCTCTAAAATTTGCATGTGGTAAGATGCACAGATGCCTTTTGACAAGTGATTCTTTAATCAGATCTCTTGATTTGAAATAAAGAAGCATACATTTAAAAAGAA